AGTTAAGTTGAAAAATGATTAATTACTGTTCTGCTGGCTAGTAAGTCACTCTCGTTGCTTATATTCATTGAGAATAAACTTATGCATAACATAAGCATTAATAAACAGAAGTGATCTGATCTTATTGTTAAGTAGAATGAGAAAGCATTTGGAGAAAATCTTTGTTAGTGAATATATGGTATTCTAAGTTTTCGCGCCAAACAAAATGGGTTTTCAGTGGTTATATTGTCTTTAAAGGTAAGAAAAAAAAATTTAAATTTTAAATCGTTTTGCTCGCAAACTTCATTGCGTAACTTGCTGATAAAAATTTACATTCCAACTTCATCTGAGTTAACATTTTATTCTTAAAGTGACTGACTAACCAGTTTTTGAATATTCTTCAAGTTTATAAATTACTCACAAGAGTGTTATGTATAAAAACAGGATGTCTCTTTCACGAACTGCCAAAAATGCATCTACTATGTGTTCACTTGCCACTATAATTAATATTCAAAAAAACGTTTTATATTCTTCCTTTTTGATTTTTTTACTAATTAAAAGACCTTTTAAGAAAATATGTTTTTGATGTAACAGATATTTGTTAAACTTTTAATTTTAACGTGTTTGTTAACTTTTAAATTTTATACAATTTCTACAATTAAAATTTATAAAATGGGGTTTCAAAAAGTTGTTTTGATTAAGCAGTTCCAAAAGAGTTACTGCAATACACTCTAGTCATACGAATGCCAATAAAAATAGAGAATTATTAAAAATATAGTTGCTTGCAAAAGAATGACAAAGTTAACAAGAATAGAAGTTTGTGTAGAAATGTTTGCACAATTAATTCAAACTACGGTGTACTTATTTAATTGTCAGAATGTTTAGCAACATCATGAATGGAATTATTTATTGTTTGTTCAATTTTAATGATTTGTAATGAGAAAATGTAGTGAATAACATTAAAAGTTAGAAATATTTTTGATCTTTTGAAACTTTCATTTGATAATAAAGCATTTAATGCTTGAAAGATGCAAAATCAAAAATGAGCTTAATGTCATAAATAGAAACACCATCTTTATACAGTGTTTTATATAAAAAAAAGCTGGTGACTCGAAGCAGAGGTAATTGGGGCCCCATAGCAGAAAATACAAAACAAAAAGAAGAAAAATCAAACAAACTGTTCATATAATCAAGTACCCTATATCTAAAAATATTATTAAACCTATAAAATATTTTTACTAATTAGTTGAGACCAGAGCTATAAAATGAACATTTATTACAAAGATGAAATATTATCGGTAATTATAAAGTGAACAAAAAGTTTTTTTTAAATTAGTTGAAGTCGATGATAATTTAAAACCCGCATTTTACAATGTCTATAACTTAACACCATAAACAAAAAATAGAAAGTTGAAAATAAAACAGTAAGAAATGGTGGAATATACAATTCTGATGTATGTTAGCTTTTCTTTTATCATCTAACGATGTTTTAAAATGATATTTATGAAAATACATATTCTAATAAATAATTCTGACATTTTGTTAAAATAAGAACATGAGATTTTAAAAGACAAGTGCTCCAATATTTTAGAACGAAAAACATCAATAAAATTGTTAAAGTCATATAAGCATCATTTTGTGAGAAAATAAGGCATCGTGTAATGAATGCACGTGTAGTTAACTAGTGGTGGTGTAATCATTGAAGGTCCTGATTCTGCTGTTGTAGTGGACTAGCTCCATATTCAGAGATCGCGTCTATCACATGCAACGCCTAAAGTGGTTGATCTAAAGAAAGTAGGAGGTGGAGGAAGAGTCTTTAACCACAAAATTTAAAATTTTGAGTTTTGCCCCCCGTCAAAGTTAGCCCCTCGTCAAAGTTGTCATGATCCACCCTTGATCACATACGTATGTATACTTCCAAAATAGCTTGAAGAAAAAAAGTCTTTTGTCTTTTGGCAGTCCATCCAACATTTTGATCACTTGCAGGTTGTTGGGTTTTAAAAATCTTTTTATGGCGCATCATATCAGAATTGATTGTTGTCATTATTATTATTATTTTTATTTTTATTATTATGAGAGTAACTTCTCCAACTCTAAAAACTACAAACAATCAAAATACTCTAAAAGCTTGAAAAATAACTTAAACGACGACTTAAAACATTTAAAAATAACCATAAATGCATTTGAAATATCTACTTTAGGTCTTTTTAAAACATTTAATTTTTCATTAATAAATATTATTTGGATTGATTATTTTTGCAATAACCTTATTAACTCTGCCATATCATCGTCGTACGCTATCTATTGCGACAGAAATATGAAATGAATCAATTTTAAAACTAATTAACTCTGGTCGTACTCTCTCGATTCGAATGATGAGCTTCTCAGATTAATACTCTATTTATTGCATTTGACACTTTATTTTATTTCATTATTTTATTGTACTTGTACTGTAATTTTCATATTTTTATTCCTGAATAAAAGATCGTTCTCATTATTGTTGTTGTTGTTTTTATTTTAATTAATATTATTTTTTCTTGTTAGTATCTTTTTATTTTTTTTTACAATAATCGAACCTTGCTTTGATATGTAAATAACTTGGACTATATAGGTAATTAACTTTTGTTGCAGGTTCTTCGACCACCTATTTACACAACATTGACGAAATTAAAATTCACTGAAAACTGTCTCAATTTTGAAAATTTAAAAACGGTCTTTATGAAAAAATTTAAAGCGACTTTAATTTTATGTATAACTTTTAAAATTTTCGGAAAAATAACCTAATGACTCAAGTTGAAATCAACAGAACAGAATACAAACAAACGCTCAGTCTGACGAACCAGTAAGAATAAGGCCACACGGAATGAATAGACCACCATCGTAATTGTGATTTGACATGAGAAATGAGAACAAGAAGACGATCGTACGATCGTAAACCATTTAGGTTCAATTAATATATCTGATAAGTACTTAGGAAATAATTTAGATTGAGACAAGTAAATTAAAAAACGTGATTGTCCTCTCTGGACTGTTCAAGGCTGAAAATGAACTTAAAAAATTAGAACAAAATGTTTGAGTTTATGATGAACTTTAACAATCTTCGCTCGTGCCAACGATATGTGGCTGATGCGCTGTAATGTGTGTGTGGATTGTGTGTGTGCGTGTCTGTGTGAGTGATAGAAAGTTTTGTATTTATATTTAAGCGTGTGTTTTTTATGTGTTTGTGTTGTCTAATGAATTAGTTCATAATATTTTGGTTTATTTATGTAAATCAAGGTGGCCTACCAGCAAGTGTTTTCTTCATTATTCACTCAACCTGCTGCTAAAGCAAAGTTTAATTAAAAACCGTATATAAATAAATAAATAAATAATATATATATATATATATATATGTGTGTGTGTGTGTGTGAGTGTGTGTATGGTTATATGCATATATATATTAATCCGCAAAAAACTAGACCGACACGGTTTGCCCAGCGGGACTGTTGAAAGCACTGAAGTACAATGATGTACATTATATTATACTTGAGGATGTTATTGCCTACCTGTTCTCAAAGTAACAATCAGATTGGGAGCTGCACTTAAGTTCTTTTGTATCACTCTGCAAAGATGTCTCAATGTTAATCCAAGAACAACACTCATTAAGACGCATGTCGTCTTGATCGTTTATTTTAAACTGCTGAGGGGCCGATCTAGACAACTTTGTCGAAGTGAGAGGACAAAATTTAAAATATGTTTAAATTTTGAAATTTGACGGAGAGGGCCAAGAAACTAACCAGCATGACCCTGACCTCCCCTAGATATGCCACTGAAATCGGTGGTTAATCTTGCTAGTTGATGGTTAAGTAAAGTTTCATTAACAAATTATGTCGATCCTATTGAACTGATTTTAAATGTTTTATAACTTTCAAAGCGGTCACTTTTTGTTAAATTGAAAAAATGTGTTAATATTATCGTACTTTGAACTTTCTTATTTATCATGCTTTGCAGATTCTTGCTATCGTCTTGTTTCCTTTGAACAGTTGCAACATTTTTTCAAAATTGTTATCTTCAATGTCTGACTATATTGTACTAAAAATTATCTCCATTGTATAAGAAACAAACAAATACTTTCATGTTTAAGTTTAATAAACTTACCTATGTAATTAGTTTATAAAAGATATTACCCACTTGAAACAAAATAAAAAGGTAAAGTTGATCAACAATTTTTAAACTTTAGAGAGCAGAATTAAATTAAGCTAAAACAAAAAGAAATCATCAACTCGATGTCCAGAGGGTGTAAAGCTGAAGATAACAAACAACAACGATTTAAAAAATGATTTAGATTTCAACTATCTTTCAGTCTGTTGTGATGTTGGTTGTCACGGTGGTTGTGGAAATATTATTACTAAATCCAAAAATATTATTTTTCATGTAAACTGTAAACCACGTTCACCAAAAATCTTCTTAACGCTCGTAAATGAACATTTTTCATGAGATATAACAACGGTGAAGCTGGTGGCGATGACGAGTTGTTAATGAAAAATTAAACAACAGTTCAAAATAGTTGCTTTATATTAATTATTATCGTTGCAGCATTCTTCAAACACAATCGTTAAAAGCATTATTATAAGGTTTGCAATGATTAACGAAGTAATTCGATAATTTAAAACGAGCTTCCACGTAAATGTTCTTGCAGTCTACTGCACCAATGAAACACTTCCCATAAGTTGATGTCATCGATTCGAAGAACCCGCACATCAAGTTCATACGCATCTACAACATCATTCAGTATAAAATTAACTACCACCTTGATTAAAAACGCTGTGATGTGAGATAAGCGCTTAATGTAGCAATAATTTAAAATTTGTCTTTTAATTTGTCTTTCGATTGAAGTGTGTGCGGATATAAAAGTGAAAGAAAGATTATAACCACGCGAGCAGACATAGAGAAAGACGTGAGCAATCAAACTGACAATCAAACGAACACACGCAGAACGATTGGATCGGCATGTGACATCTGCGAGGAGAACGACAACCAACATGCCCTGGATGGTCGGCGCTAGACTCTCAATAAAAGCTTTCGAGTGCTATCCAGTGCAAGAGTTTGGTCGAATGATAACATCTTTTTGGTTTACAACGTATCAATTAATTTGATCTTTCACATGTTACTACTGAAAAACTTTTCATATCAGTCATCGTACATGTTACAGTACTATGAAATTAATTGCACGTTTTTGATATTAAAGTATTCATTATATTCGAACATTTATTGCCAAATGAAGGAATTTAATTTGGTTGTAGAATAGCAAGTTCAACATTTATTTTGACATTTTATAACGCGGGCCAGTTAATTTACGATGACATTTATTAACACGATCCCTGTCTTTCATCCACGTTAACAATGTTACAGTGCTTAAGTTAGAATTTAATACTCGACCAGCAGGTGGATATGGATGATTTCCAAATACAAATTTTAATGATAATTCATTTAGATTTTCATTAAATGCGAATTGAATTTTTGCTGTTCTTCGGTGGTCAAAACATACAAATGTGTACCAATCACCGAGACGATACAACAAATACAACAGTGAATGTTTGTTTGTACAATAGACAGGCATGCATTTACCACCCAAACACATTTGTGATTTTACATTTTTTAAATATTTGAATATGAATATCGCACGTGTGTGCTGCTTCAGCATTTTGTTTCAACGTACTTTTTTTATTTATCGATCGATTAAATCAAATTTGTCCATCTAATTGTATTGTATTACATTATGTTTCAAAATTCATTGAGTTTGCATTTGATATTTGACGTTTCAAATATTTTTATTTAAAAAAAAATCTTGTCTGTCTGACAAGCAATTTATAGAACGAAACGTAAAAATACAATAACATGATACAAAATCCGTGCAAAAAAACAAAACTAATTGAAATTGAAATAAAGAAATTGAAAAATGTTGCTAAAACATAACACTGGATTTTGTGTTATAAAAACGAGCTACTGTTTGATCTTCAACCCAGTTTAATGTCTAATATCAATATGTAAAGTTAGATGAATAATTTCAACTAATAAGGTTCAGAAAAATTTTGGTCTTCTTTTTGTGAACGAATTTGTCAATTTTACAAAATGAACCAACGACAAAAAAAGTTTTTGGACGGATTCATGCCTAGATAGCAAAACGATGGAAAATGTCATATTTAAATTAAAATAATTCACAAATTGAAATGGTAATATAACCCATAGAACATTAGTTCAAACAAAAACAAAGAACCAAGCAGTCGCAGAACAACGAAATAATAATAATTTGCATAAATTTAAAGAGAGCAATTAAATAAAAGACACGGTGGTCCGTTAATAAAGGAATACTTTTGAGATGAACAATCGGTTGAACAAAAGTTCATTATTTATTGAGTGTACCAGACATGATGAACAATAATTTTTACTACGATGTCTCAAATGAGTGTAGTCAATTGTGAGTAGAATAATAAATAAAATGATAAGCATATTCATACGTCAATGCAGAGGTATTTCTTGCGTAAAGGCCACACACACACGCAAAAACACCAACACACTTCACACTAGCAACGAAGACCACCAAGTCTAGTCGTGCTTCAATGTATGTGGCAGAGAAACAAACGACTCAACAGGTGAAGTGGGTTTGATTGAATAGATGGCGCTCTCTGAATATTGCACTACCAGAATTTCAATCGTTTCCTTAATTAAACTATTTAAGCAATTAAATATTTTATGAAAATTTTCTTGATGTGAATTCAAAATTTGTGCTGAAGTGTGGTTGTTCAACTTTCTCGCACTTTTTTGCAGTGGTGTTGCGAGAGGTGGTTTGTTGGACGTTGCAGGGCGCCAAAATGTGTACTACACTAAATGTATATTTTATATTTTAAGGTCGACACCAATTCACTGAGGTTCGAACCTGGACATCGTCAAAGAACACACAACTCCGAACTGTTAGTTAAACTTTTTTTACGGTTGACCCTAAAAAAATTAGGTTAGTATGGTTCTGGAGTTAACAACGTAAGCAGGACTATTGTAAGTGTAGGGACCGTGAACAATGTTCTTCAGTGACTCTTCAGCCACTGCCATTGAAAATATTTTTATTATTTCAATAAATTCACATGTTCACTTGCCGACCATTAATTAGTTTACAAGTTTACTCTGAAGTTTCAACAAAAAATTTCTCAACTTACTGATTGATTGCGATAAAATTTTGAATAGAATAATATCTCGTTTTAGATTCTGTTAATAAAGTGGTTTTGTTTTGTTCACACGTTAAAAAGGTTTAAAACAAAATCACTTAAACTTCGTGAAAACTGTTAGTGGAACATTTTTTCATCGCATGATAAATCTGAAAATTTTCACGTTTCAACATTTAATCGAAAAAATGTATATAAATTGGTTTTGCGTGAATGTCGCCAACCATAACAGAATTTTTTAATTTTTCCACGACGCTTCCATGATCATATTCATAAATTTATAAATTTAATTTTTCAATTGTTTGTGTTTATTCTTTGTTTAGCAAAAACAAATAAATAACGACCAAACTAATTGCAGTCATTCATCGCATGTCATTTTAGTTCATGTTACTATAATTCATGTTACTATAATTCATGTTACTATAATTCATGTTACTATAATTCATGTTACTATAATTCATGTTACTATAATTCATGCTACTATAATTCATGTTACTGTAATTCATGTTACATTGACAGGATTCTTGAAACCAATAACAAATTTTCAACTATATTTTTTGGCAATTTCATTCTCGGTGAGGACAGTAGGGCCTTTCGGACCAGGGTAGAAGTGGAAATAGTTGGTGAAAATTGGTAATATTATGTATTAATGAAAAACACAGCCTATACAATCATAAAATATATGGAAAGTAAAAAAAATAGTTGATTGATTGGTAAAATAACCAAAAAAGGTTATCAATTTTTTTCGATCAAACTGAAAAAAATATAATTTTTTTAATCTTTTTGTCACCGGGTTTGTGAAGCGCGGCTGGAAAAAAGCTGAGAAACCCTGTTATAACTCTTGTTAATAGCTTGGTGAGTTTATTGTGGCAAACGAACGAGATGACTTTTTACTGTGAGGTGAACGTAGTGAACGTGTATCAACTGCTAGCGTGTAACGATTAGCGAGTATATGTGTGAAAAGTGGCCCCTTAAAAAAAATCCGGCTCCAACTCTGGCCTAAATCTTCGACTCCGACCGACTCTGACACTCTGGTGAAATGTGAATTCAAAAAATTCATTTTTGTTTTTAATCAGTTTTTAATTTAATTTAAATAAATATATATAATAAAAAGTAGTTTTTAACAGTTTTTTTATCTTATTCAAAATTTTAAAAACAATCCACAATTTAAGAAGGATTAAAATAGCTGTAATAAAAAATGTAAAACTTTCAACAGTGTTCTTTCATGAAGAATTGCACTCAAGATCTTAAATGGATACATGTCGTCGCTACTGATAATAATTAAATAAAAAACAAACTAATTTATCAAGTTTCAAGATAAAGTCTTAAAAATGTTATTACTAATTTTTTATAATTTATGGCTAACAGTTAACAAATAATACTTCAATTTCTTTTACACTAACGATTTATTAATTTTTACATTTTAATACGTTTGAATATCAGCCAATGAATTGCGCGCACTATGCATAATGCCAGTTAAATGAGCCGCCAGAAACCAGCATGTCTTTGATCAACGTCTCGATCGGAGTCTTCCCGATGAGGCGAACGAAGAAGAGTTGTTCGATGACATGTGGCGAGATGATTCTTAGCGAGGGTAGTCTCAGCAGCAGCTTGCCGAATCTCGTGCTATGGTAGGGGACCTGCTGGCGACTGTACTCCTCCAATGCACACAATGATTTCTCTTGCAGACGTTCTATGTGGTTGGCGTCCGTTAAACCTGGTGAGTCTTGGCGGGAAAAAATTATAAGATGGAATAAAAACAGTTATATGATGGATATTGCTGTTGCAATACATATTAAGTATTTTAAATATTTGATGATTGATTCAATCAACATTTTTATTACATGACACAATAACGCACGTGCATCCAAGACTGTATCGGTTAAAACATCAGCATTTTTAGAAGTAAGTAGAAAACAAACAAAAGTCAAATTATGAAGGAGGGAATGTTTAGACTGACCGGGTGAGAACAAGACGATGGCCTTCAAACAGCTGAATTCCGCGGCATCCATCCTCAACCCTCTTAACTTCTGCACGAGATCTTGAAACATTTTAATCTGTTGCTCGATATAAGGGGCCAGGGTTGGAGAGTTAGGGGGTATGTTTGAGGTGGAATGCAGGCTGGCAAATAATGAGGCGGTTGGTATTGTCACGTGGCACTGAGCTGAGTTCAAGACAAACAGTTCGCTCCAGGTTAGACGAAGAAGAGTCACCTGAAAATAAAATACGAACCGAGCTGTTACGAACTCGTTGATGTTAATAACTGTCACTGAATGATTAAAAAAAACTTTTGAAAAATAATAATGAGATAAAATTGAATATATCTTGTAAGTTGATTAGAAAAGTGTCACGACAAAATAAATTTATTTCACTCTACTCGCAGTCAAATTTCAACGAAACAAAATTGAAATATAACCTGATCTATGAACGGCAAGTCAGGGAAAAGTGGTATACTCCTTGCCCACTCGACGGCGCTGAACAGTAGTCTGGCCGCTAGTTCGCAAATGCCGTCGGTGGGAACGTTAGCTGTCGAGTTGGCGCCCACGAAGTTGAAAGAACTGCTTGTCGGCATGACTGCAGAGGAAGGGTTGTAGTTGTTGCAGCTGGCATGCGACGAGGATTGTTGCTGCTGCGTTTGATGGTAGTGGTAGCGGTTCATGGATAAACTCTTCAATGAGTACGTTTCTGCTCTCACTAGGAGAGAGATGTAGGATGATAGGGATGAAGAATTGTTTATCGAATAGGAGTTACTCTCCTGTAAGTCACGTGGTATTTTGTACAATGACGTCAGAGCAGTGTTGTTCATGTTAAGATGGTTGAGATGAGAGGGGGTTGGTTCATTGAACGCTGACATTCTCTGCTGGTGGTTCAGTGGTGTAGACGACGATGACGAGGAGGAAGAAGAAGCTGTGATGCGACTTTTTTGAACGGCTGTCATGTGGTTGAAAACATTTTCAAGTGTCATGTTATTGCATGGCTTAAACACGAAGTGAACTGAACATTGTATTAAATAAACTACCATGAAAATAAAAGTATTAAAACATTATCACGGTTAATAGTAAACTAACCAGGAGACGTATCTTTTTTTATAGCATCTATAACTTATAGAAAACTGTCAAAAAACATTTAAACTGCTGCTAACACAACACACATGGCTAAAATCAGCAAATACTGACTTAAGTGAAATTGCAGACTACAAAAAAATAAACAGTCTGCTATTGTTAATACCAAAAAGTAAGAGCAATACCACCATTATTGTTACAGAGATATTTGTAACAATGATGATCTGCATTCTAACCAGCCGACCGCAAAACGTTTGACCGATAATCTTGGGTCAAAGGTCAAGTTTAGTTATTCACGGTTGCCATGGTGGTGGTTGCGGTGGCTGCGATAATGATGATGATGACGATGGTGGTGGTGATTGCGATGATGATGGCGGTAGTGGTGGTGGTTGCGTTGATGATGATTGGTATGATAATAGAGGTAGTTACGATGATGAAGGTAAGGATAGTTGAGACAGAAACAGTTTATAAATAGCAATCGATCTCTCTATTTCTTTTCTCCTTACTTTCTCCTTCTCTTTATATGTCTATATGTATGTTATTTGGTCTTTTTTAGTCTTTTAATAGGCTCAACAGGTTCTGAACTGATCGGGCTTGGAATTTTGTCCTATAAAGTTATTTGGAGACGCTAGCATACATAGACGTAGTTAGTTTCAGCTTGCTTTACCTTTAGAGAAGTTGGTTTGGTAGCAGGAGTCAGATAAGTAATACACATTAAGCGCTTCAAAATCCATTCAATAGGATTCAGACAAAAAGTATGGAACACCTAAGTTTACTTACGAATAATGAATTTTATTTATCATTTAAATATGAAATTCAAAAAGTTTGGTTTGGTGGGGAGGGACAGATTAATAATAAAATTGAGCGCTTTATAATTTATTTATGATGAACAAAAAAGTGTGAAATACCTATTTTATAATAGGACTTAACAAAACGCTAAAACCATTTACATTATAATAATGCAACTCAACAATTTACTAAGAAGGACAAACAGAAGTGATGGGTACATCGAGTTTTATCGGTATACCGGTACATCGCTACATCGGGTATGTATTAATAATATTCGAGATCGGTGTCGGTATTGAAAAATAATGTTCTCGAGACTCCAAATCGAAAGTGGGGATCTTCGTATGGAATGCGTTAAGTTTGACCGTAAGATATGCGGGGACAGTTAGTAACGAAAAATGATGACGATGACAACAATTTACTAAATAAAAAATCACGCAGTAAACAACGTTGCATTTATAAAATTAAAAATATCAGTGCATGTAATGAAATTACGTGAAACATAACAACACGACAGATAACACCGACCGTCTTTTTTCATGCCAACTTTGAAACATTTCTTGAGTCTGCAATGCTGGCATTGGTTTCTGTGGTGCTGGTCGATGGGGCAGTCCTTGTCCCCTCTGCAGCTGTACGTCAGGTTGCGTCGGACTGATCGCTTGAAAAAACTTTTGCATCCTTACCGGTTACGTTTGGTTAGGATTAGGGTTAGTTCGTGGTTTCATTGACGTATTTAATAACATTTTTTGTTTTTGTTTTCAACAATTGTCAATCCATGATAATTTGAGATAATGTTTGACACAATTTCAAAATATACAAATTTTAAAGCTTATAAAGTAAGCAAAAGATAAAACTAATAAATTAACCCATCTAAAAATTAAAAAAACATTTCAACAGAAACTTCCAGCAAATGTTGAAAAATATAAATTAACATTGCTTATGATAAAAACAAGTACATGATATGATTGCTTCGGTAACAAAAGCACTGAAGTTGGCCCCGTTTGGTTTGTGGTTTTTCCAAATTACGATGTTAATAAATAAGTTGGGCCACGGACGGAATTGATGCGTTAAAAAGCAGAGAAGAAATGCAAAAATAAGATTGATTGTGGTTATTTACGGAGATTACAGCGATGATAAATATGAGAGACTAAACTGGAAGCCACAGCAATCGAGCTATTTTTCATTTCACAAAATTGTGAGTACAAAAACCTTCATCCAATAATTTACGTACGTCGCCCCAATTTTGCATTATTTATTTTCAGTCGCCAGCCAGCTTACTAACGACCATTTTTTATTTTTTATTCACAATCCTAGTTCACCTTCCTTCCTACCTGCCTATCCTATGTTTGTTGGTTAATCAATTCATCCATCTATTTATCTATCCAAACAGCTATTCAGTCAATCTAGTTATTCACGGATGCATATTATCAATTGATCGATCTATCCATCCATCCATTCATCTATGTGAATTGTTTGACTTTTTCATCTGTTCATTCATCCATTTTTTCACCCATTCATTTATCTATCCATCCCCATCCATCCATGAACCAACCCACCTTCACACGTAATCACACCGTAATGTCTTCCGGAACTTTTGTCCCCACAAACGATGCAATCAGCCAGGAAGGAAGCTGATGAAACTGAGGCTCCGGACAATGAGGATGAACATGATAGGGGTCCTTCGATGTTGTTCAAGTTGTTGTTCAGGATGTTGTTGCTGTTGTTGCTGTTGCCGATGTTGTTGATGGTTGTTGAGGTATTACTTTTGCCAGCACTTTTCTTGCATTGTAGCAAGGTCAAGGTCGGGAGGTCATCCGAAGTTGAGATGTTGTGGATGGAGGATGTGGTCGAATCGATTGACAGCTGACTGTTTAAATTGTTGCTGCAACTATTAGCGTTGTTGTTGTTATTGTTGTTATTATTGTTGTTGTTGTTACTGCTGTTGCTGTGAAGAGCATTGTTTTGATCGGTAGAGTTGTTGTTGTTGTTTGAATTACTGTTGTTAATAGTGTTGTTGTTGTTGTTTTTCAAACTTTCACATTTGATTTGGTGTTTGACATTTCGCGGCAGTTCACCGATTTGTTGGTAGGTGACTTGTGCAGAGGACAGCGACGAAGAGGATGATGAGTTTTGATAGGGATGGTAGAAGGGGGTGTGCTGAGATGGGGGGGTGAATGAGTAGTTGTGGTGGGTGAATGGAGGGAAGAAAAAATTGGTGGATGAGTCTATGTTGGATTGTGGCTGTTGATAGTCGATTGGCGTGCTGTTGAATGGACTGCTGTCGTTGTTCCAACTAGATAGCATAATGCTGGCGAGGAAGTTTTGTACATAGAATTAATTAAACCTCAAATCATAATGTTCGTAACTTTTTTATACATAAAAGATATATATAATAATTCCTCGAATTTGAACGTGTAGAGAAATGTATGAGTTTTTGATAGGAAATGTCATTAAAATGTTTGCGAATAATCACCCGAAATGAGTTTCAAACGAAATGATTTTTGAAATTGCTGCAAAAAAACTGAAAAGTTATTTGGAAAACACTTTTGTGTTATGTTAACAATTCACATTTGTGTTATTTTAACAATTCTTATTTTAATAAAACCATATTTTTTAGCATTTTTTAAATACAAGTTTAAAAGCAATATATATCAACGTTTCAGACGGAATGGAGTTTTCAACTTAGTTTTGTTGTTAAAAAAATATTTGTGATATATTCGCTTTAGTGGTGTGAAAAATTTCCCCAAAGATACTTCATGAAATAACATGATAGATTGCAGTACAATTGAAATTAATCAAGTTGGTGTGTAGTTGATGACATAGCAGGACAAAAAGTGAAAGAAAATAAAACTTACACATTGAGGTAAGCCGTGTGACCGTTGTCATCATCCAGACTCACCAGCCTGTCACATTCATCTAAGAGCAGTCAAGTAGGTCAGCCGGTCTCTTAACATCAGTTTTATGTAACAAGATGATGCTACTTTCGAAATATTTTTAAGTTTTATAAGAAATAAATTATTTTTATATTATGTAAGTTAAAATTATATTTTTTGAAGTAAAAAACCTTTGAAAAACATTAAATTTGATTCAACTTTTAAATATCCAAATTATTAAATTGGGTTCAACTTTCTTATAACCTCTATCCTGAACTGTTAAACCCCAAGCGTCAGTGACGACGATACCGAAAAATAAACTTTGTCCACCTCAAACTTAACTCCTGACACTAATCAACCATGCAGGTCAATAGGTCAAAACAAAATGTCAATCAAAATGTAATGAGCCAATAGAATTGCAGTAAGTGATGCACAACTCCGCCCACATGTCCTCGGATAGAACAGGTGCTGCTTGAAAAGCAAGATGGCGGTGTGTGCGTGTGGTTGCCGTGTTTTATGGAATTCAACTGTGATGACGATGATGACGACGATGATGACGACGATGATGATGATGAGTGGAATGATGATTGGAACGATGATCTCTCGATGTTGATATTGTTGAAGATGCCAAATTGCATTAAAACCTGCATGAAGTTAACTGACAAACTTTCGTTACGATGCTTTATAATTTGCTACAATTAAAAATCGCTTTGCAAAAATTACTTTGCTGCCTAATTTTCAAATTTTATAATAATTTTTTCAATATTTTTAAATGTTCATTTATTTAATTTCAATTATTTTATTATTTTAATCATTGGAATAAATAATTAGGTGATTTTAATATATCGGTAGAACTTACAGTTTTGAACAAGGGTAAGCAGGATTATTTAATCTGTAAACAGAAATACAACATTAAACCAACACTACATACAGTTTGACCCAAACTTACAATACACACACAAACAAACAAACAAACAGACACACACACTCACACATACATACAAACACACACTCACACACATTCATGAAAGAAACATCGATTACAAGTCTCGATAAGGTGCAAGAAGAACATGCAGAACGTAGTATAAACATTTAATTCATCACGAAATGAAAACAATATTGCGATTGTGGTGTGTGTTGAGAAATTTTCACGACGCCCCGAGGCAAGCCGGTATTCAGTTTCAATTAAACACATTTTAGCGACTGAACATTACCTTAATTTTTATTAGTTTAGTTTTGGCTCTTCTGTAAGTTTGAAGATTCGCGTAAAGTTACTCGCAGACGCGTAAACGCATGAGAATAATCTTAAAATTTTAACGTAGTTTGTATTATCATATGAAGATGAATGGTGGTTACTTGGTTACGATTTGTAAATGTGCTTATGTCGATTTTGTTCTAATTTGCTCATGTGTAAATTAAAAAAAGTTTTGCCATCGTACACACAACACAAGTACTAATGATAAAGTTAAAATGAATGTACGTTTGTATGTGTGCGTGTGTATGTGCGTGCGTGTGTGTGTGTGTGTGTGCATTATTTTTTTCTTTGATATGCTGCTTGCCTTATCGTGATCTGGTCACTGTTCAAGTATCCAACATTTGAAGTTTGTGGTTGTGTGTGTGTGTATGTGTGTGTATGTTGTAATGTGACTCGATATGTTGTTTGAAGTTGTGTGTGTATGTGTTTGTATTTGTGAGCAAGTATTTATGTAAGCGTTTATTTGCGTGTCTCTGCATTTAAAATACTAAGCAACTGTTTCGGATGGTTTTCAATGATTGTTTTATAAAGGCTTGTGTTTTAAACAAGTGTTTCAACATCACCCACATCTAGCTATATATTATTTTGTCAACTCTAGGTTGTATATCGGTGAATACTTTTAAACACATTCTGTGAGTTGGTCAACAATCCTACACTCCCAAACTCTGTTTCTGAAACATATAAAACTAATAGAAACAACAGATCACGTATATTTATATTCAGATTCATCTAAATGAATGCATGTGTGTGCATGTGCATGCATGCATCCAGGGTACAATAAAGTTACTCATGTGCATGCATGCATGTAGTTCATTGTGAATGTGAGTGCGTTGCAACACGATGGACCAATACACAATTCATCCATTGTTTTCTGCAGTTCCTGTCTTTAAATGTCATTAACACTTTCTTTAAAGACAGTTAAACATATATTGCTTATATGGACTGAACTAACATATTCGTTTATTACATATATATTATATATAAATATTATATATATATATTATATATATATATATATATATATATATATAAGCCATACTTAGATGCCAGATGCAATAAAAATATAAACATATTGACACACACACACACACAAACATACACACAAATAACATACTAACTCAGAACACACTCACACACACACACACATGTGATTTTAGTATAAAGTATTTTATGGTTTGTTACTTATTAAACAATTGTTTTATCTTAAACCACCATCATTAGGTAGAATGATAGCTATAAGGTTTAACGATTTATAAGAATAATTCCACAAACTATTATAAAGTACACACACACACGCACACACACACACATTAAAACTGAATTTCTTCTAAAGAATGCATATCACATATCAATGAGTGGACCCTAACAAAATGATACAAGTGCATCCGAAAATAAAACAAACACTTAAATAAACATCAACACCATCATTTTCTTGTACAAATAAATTATTTGTGCCAGTATATGAACCATTTTTTTTATGAAGGTATGTTGGAATGATTGGATCAAATGATGCATATTGACAAAGTGGTGATACAAGATATCAACATAAACACATTTTCATTGTAATTCATGTTTTATTGATATTTACCATGATCAAATATTGTCTTGTGTTGCTTTTTTATGATTTCATCATTTGTGTCATCGCTTGTTTTTTTGGAATTTCAGGTAGTGCCTTTCAGATTTGACATACAGAAAACTTGTAGGAATAGTTTTTATAGACTCTATCAAACCAAAATTTGAAACTATTGCTTAAAATTATAGCATAAATTTGAATAAGCAACTTTAAATTTGTACAAAGCCAGCTGCCGTTAATGTTTAGAAGATGTAAAAACTAGACAGCCACGAAGTTTCATCGCCACACATGAACACACCACACCATCCAAGGAGCACAGATATGAAATGAAACTCGCATACAATAAAAAATAGTTGGATGGGAGCATCAGTCAGGAATAGAATTTCACATGTGAGGCAATTAACAGTAGTCCTTTTATCGGCTGATTGATTTTTTGAGTTGTTCAAGTCTGAAGCTGTATGTGTGTGCGTGCGTGCCTGGCTGCGTATTTGTGTGCGTCTGTGTGTGCGTGTGTTGTGCATGTTTTTATTTCATCAATGTGTGACGTGATTTATTTATAAGTTTTTGTTTGTACAAGAAAGTTTCTATCGCACTGTATTGCGTCATGCATATCTGTAGTCTGTACTACTGTACATAAACGAAATAACAAGTTTTTTTAATCATTATTATGTTGTAAACCTGAATAAACTGTTTGAATATTATTTCTTAATAAAATATTATTACATCAGAAGCAGTCGAGATTGTTGCCTCGTCCCAAAGCTTATCACGAATTTGTTGGCTTTGAGTGTTGATATGTTATGTTACAAGATGGAAATGGATGGATGGATGGACGGACGGATAGGTGGATGAGTGGATGCTTCTGCTTATATCGCTATATGTGGCAACATGTGTTAACTTCTCCCTTTCTCTCTTTTTCCCTCCCTCTCTCTCTCTCTTTCTCTCTTTTTCGAATTTTGATAAAACTTCTTAACCTTATCTGTTGGCTTTTTGAATGTTGACTGATTTGTGCTGTTGTTGCTTCGTAATGTTAATTTTTGTTGTACTTTATATAACACATTATATTATCTGGTCAAAATATCAGCTATTAGCTATACAGATTAGACAGCTACACTATACGGAAGATACCATGTCGTTGGCACTTGTACAGGACAACAAAAACATCAACAACAAACATCAATGAAATATAAATAACAACATACTTCGTTAATGAAACATACTATATGTTGAATATATATATATATATATATATATATATATATATATACTTTATGAAAATATACTACAAGTTTTTTACTTTAGTTAAGGTCACCTAGAATATAGCATTCATCGCTAAAGTTGCACCATTTTTTTCATCAATTACTATGTTTTTTGATTGACATTTAACTTGTTGAAAAAAACCAAACAAAATTATCAACAAACAACATAAACAACAACAACAAAATATAAACAGCCTAACAACAATAGCGACTGCTGTACCACTAACAGACAAACTACAACAACAAAACCGACGATGACGATGTTGCAATTTTTTGGATGTTTCATGGCACGGTGTGTTTGGAATGTCGTCGAGTATTTTGTCGTTCTTCATTTTTCACTGGTTGCACTACTACTACTACTACTACTACTACTACTAGTAGTAGTAGTAGTAGGAGTAGTAGTAGTAGTAGTAGTAGTAGTAGTAGCAGTAGGAGTAGTAGTAGTAGCAGCAGCAGCAGCAGCAGCAGTAGTAGTAGTAGTAGTAGTAGTAGGAGTAGTAGTAGTAGCAGCAGCAGCAGCAGTAGTAGTAGTAGTAGTAGTAGGAGGAGTAGTAGTAGTAGTAGTAGTAGCAGCAGCAGCAGCAGTAGTAGTAGTAGTAGTAGTGGTGGTGGTGGTGGTGGTGGTAGTAGTAGATGATTAAAGATGAAAAAGATAACAAAAACAATAAGTGATGTTGACGACGGTTTTGTGATCGTGATGGTGATACGATGAAGACGACAATGATATTATTATAATAATTGAAATGATGATGTAGTGATGACGATGATAGAAATGATTAAGTGATTGAAATTACGATATAACGAGCCTGATGATTGTATTGCTGCGTGATTGTATAATGATAACATGATAAAGATGATGTTGCTGATAAACTTCAACTGATAAACAGCTGAAAAAGATGTGATAAGAATGACGATGACTGGTTGTAATAAACAAATCTTCATGCATGATTGGTCAAAAGCAACTCGCTCTAGCTTCTTCTACTTCAAACAAATTTCGTTATAACACTCTCGTTAATTGGAGTGCAAAGTGTAGTTTTATATTAACGATTTTTCAAATTGCAAATAATTTAAAGTTATGTGTAAACCAATATGGATCTATTTTTATATGAATCTATATAACTAACTATTAATATTCAAAGGTTAGTTTTCTGTAATTGAATTTTTAAAACGTAATATGTTGCAGCACAATCAC